GGCACGAAAAGTGCAAAAACGCATAATCGCACCGGCCCGCCTGGTGCGTTCCAGCCTGGGTTAATTATATTTGTGAATGCACTGCTTCAGTTGATGAGGATCCAGATGCGATGATGGATCGTTTCACCATGGGTGAACGCCGTCGATTAAGTCGTTCTCCTCAAGGTACGGTTGTTATTTACTAGCACTGTGTAAAAGTGATCCTAGATGAAACACACAGAATGGGTGAAAACAGAATGTTCAAATAAGGAAAAAAAATGTTCAAATATAAAAGTGCAAATACATTTGAGGCAACAACTAAAATAATTTCGAGCAACCACTAGAAGCAACTAATAAAGTAGTTTCAATTTTATCTTGAAATTAGAAAAAGCAGCCAACCAAGCCAAAAGAATAGATTTAATAGTATCCAGGTCAGCAGAAGAGACTTCCAATGTTTCCTGCTGCCCAACTGTTCATTTGTCGCGAATTAACACGCCAAATATCTGTCGTACCCTTCCTTGTCGCATTTAGCTCTCGTCCTAGGCTCATGTATACGCAGCATCGGGGTAAAAAAAGCAGCGCATGTTTACTTTGTGTCAACTTCGAAGTCGGCACTTCTACCTGCAGCTCTCGTTTTTGTTGCTTCAATAGGCATATAATTTTTCAGCAGAAAAAATGGCTGGAGAAGTGAGTACCGTTCATCTTGTCACGCATGAAGGCAATAGAGGAACTAAGGCACCAGATGTAGAGAAGGAAGTAAATGCAGCTGTTGAAGATGTCAGGATTAAAGCAGGTAAGTGAACATTAGTCGTGCAGAATCAAGAGAACATGTTTTCTCACATGGAGCCATTCAACTGACTCAGGAAATTGCTATGGCTGATGAAAATTTAGTGGTGGCCAGTGGAGGCACTGGTTGAATCGTGATCCAAAGCCGAGCAATTTGGCTGGTACTCGCCCATTCAGGATCCGGAGTGTCGCTTTAGCTAAGGATTTCAAATTCAAGTATAGCACAGAATTGGGCCACGGTATAGTCACGTCAAAGTTCACAGCCTGTGTTCCACCTACTCGAAAACTGGCCTTAAGATAATAGCTATAATCTCATCAGTACAACAACATTAGTTACTAGCCAGAAAAAGATATAGAGGCAAAAAAGGCACGTCGTGCTTCCGCCTAATAATAGAGTACCTTTGTCCTTAAACTGGGTCAGAAATCTTGTTAAATTCATGTACCGCCAGCTAGCTGGGAAATGCAAAACGCAACAAGTTCAGCGGGTAGTGACTAGGAAAGGAAGAGAAGAAATTATCGGAGATTTGAATGGAGCTCTACCCGGGACCTGAGGTCCCTATTTCGAACTTTGAATTTGACAGCCACAGTTCTGCATACTAACCTAAAAGATAATATGCTTTAGCAGAAGCAATCCAGGAAATAACGAATTCTCCAATAATGAACGAAAGAGAACGGAGGGATGCAGCTGCCGCTATGACTTTGGGGCGGAAAAAACCTGGTAAAGTCGCACGAAAAACTCAAGAGGAAATTGCATGGTAGGTGCAATTTTTGAAGCCTTAAAATCCTAGTAAAAACCCTCGAATTAGCAAATAGTGTAAGTGCAGGAAAGAGCTCAGCCATCCTGTGCAATAATTCGTACAGTAAAAGCTTATCTGAAGAGCAGATTACGTTTTCGCACGGCTCATTACATTTCCGCACAGATCCAAAGCAGTCATTTATTTTGCATACATTCGCTCTCGGTCATTTGAGCAGTCATCACTTTTCATCACCTTTCGCTTCCTCTTTTCCTGCATTTTCTTTTGCCCACTGCAACTTTGCAAGTTTTAGGCAGTGAAGAATTATTTTAAACAAATTTTTTTGCAGGAATGAAAAGGTGTGACAAGTATTTGGCAACGAATTTTCAGAGTAAAATCAGTGATTACTTGTGAATTTGGGATGTGAATAAAATTACTAACTGCACATACCGCTCATAGATTACTTATTCGGAGTAGTTCAATTGCACTGAACTATTATTGAAGAATTGGCAGACTCTCCACGCGCTAATTTAAGAAGCATAGTTTTTTTGCCTTAGGGACTGGGTCCCAGTAAATAATTCATTCAAAAATTCTATCAGAACAGATGCCTAGTTTGACAAGTTTCATTATAAGCCCAGGCTGGAGCGCACTAAGTCTGCACTAAACTTGAAATGGTCAGGTAATTCATGTAAAAGTGACTGTTGCTTCACATTTGCTTTGTAAACTCATTAGTATATATCATAGTAAATTTTGCATGAACGAAAGTGAACAATTTCTGTTGAACAATCGTTCAATGGAAATGACCTGGTTGTTCAGTGAGCAGTTTTTCGCCAAAATTTTTTACATCCCCGCACGTAAGAACCACGCGTAGGTGGGAGCTGAATTTGAGATTTTTAAGTTCTACCTGAACAAAAATGAATACCCTCTTAAGATTTCATCTTCCTAGCTGCTCTAGTTCCCGAGCCAACAATTTTTCCGCCAAAACTTCCACGTACTCGCATGCGAGGCTCAGACGCACGTGAAGTTTCGTACCACATCCAGATAATAACGCTAGGGAAACTGCACCGAATCTTGCCTAGTTGCCGAGTGCAACTACCCGGGCAAACAACTACACCATGGGTAGGTACTACATGCGTTTTGCATTTGCACGAATATGCATAACAGCATAATAAATAGCGATGCGATCATGTGTAAATAGCGATCGGCCCCAGCAATGCGACCATGCATTTCGTGAAGTTCTGTCCAACTTTTTATATTCTGGAGTACGCAGAAATAATCAGTATGTTGTTTAGCCCTTAAACCGCGAAATTTTGTACTGAAAATTCCACGTATCGACACGTGAAACATAAGAGGTCGTGAAGACCGACTTTGTAACTATCCTCTCAAAATTTTGGCTTCCTAGTTTTCTGGCTTCCAAGTTACTGGTTTTCGCGCCGAAACTACCACGATGACGTACTTGAGACTTAAGCATGTGTGTGGGTTAATTTCGACTTTGTTGGGTTTCTGCATGTCTGGAATTCTCAAGCTCCTAGCTGGTTCCCGAGTTTTTATGCGTTTTTTGCAGCTGTGCAATGCAGAAGACGCATATTGACGGGGGGTTTGTCTGTGTGCCTGTGTTTTCTGTGCGTCTGTGTGTCTGTGTGTGATGTCTGTCACGCACTTTCATCTCAAGACTTATAAAAGCTGCGGGGCTGAAATTTCTGGAATTTAATCTATATTCATGTGCCGGCCCCAATTCCCAAAATGGGCGCCAAAACCCGCGTGGTACCCGCGTACTGGCCCGCCAAAGTTTTTATCGGATAAGTTCATAATTCGGCGATCTGAGAAGCTAGAAAGCTGAAATCTTAGGGTAATATTCCCCGTCTAACTAGGTATTAATGCACTCAAACTCATCCCCCGAGTAAGCGTGGTACCCGCGTACGGGCTCGCCAAGATTTTTCTCGGATAAGTTCATAACTCGGGGATCTGAGAAGCTAGAACGCTGAAAAATTAGAACAGTGTTCCCTGTCCAACTGGGTATTAACACCCTCAAACCCATCCCCCGGTCAAGTGTGGTACCCGCGTACTGGCCCGCCAAGATTTTTTTCGGGTATGTTCATAACTCGGGGATCTGAGAAGGTAGAACGCTGAAATCTTGCGGCAATGTTCCCCGTTCAAGTAGGTATTA